GCAAAAGTGCTATCATGTCTGCAGATTACATCATAGGCAGCGTCTTGAAAACCACCTATTTTCCTTCCTCACCCTGCACTCTCCCATATTTATTTATTATTTATTTAAAATAATTTTACGCTGTCTATTTCAAAAATTCAAGGCAGCTTACAAAAAATATTAAAACACAATAAATAAATGTATAGAAAGTAAAATACAAGACCCCAAATTGGGGGGATCATAAAACCTGCTAAAACAGGAACTGTCTGTAGGCGCATCCTACATATTCAAGCCAAAAGACTCCATCTGCCACCAAGCTACATTTCTCTGCATCTGTGTATGTAACCCAAGCTTGGTGTGGTATCACTTTTGGCAGTGCACCTTTTTATTCCTGTTTAAATAACCTCCTCATTTCTGCGTAGTTCCCCTTAAATGTTACAATGATGGCCTGCTGTGGTATTTTTCTTTCCACCGGGATGTTAAATTTACTTATATGATGGTCACTATTTGGTCTGGCCCATATTTGATTATTTATCAGAAGAAAAATTAGAATATTAGCCAAAACACCCACAATATTTTAGTGATAAATCATGAAGGTATTCAAATTCTCTCCATGACAAATTTTAAACTAGTTGCTTAGTCCTTATTCTTTCAACCAGCTCAATCACTTCTAGGAATTATGAATAACATTTAACATACTCTCATCTTCTTTCTTGATGGATGATGAGTTGTCTTCAATAAAGTTGTTAATGATGTAAAATAAAATGCAAATTAAATAGCACAATCAAAATCAAACTATTAAAAATAGTGGCAGAAGCAATAGATGATACTAAATACAGTACTACCCTTTTCCCTGTATCATTAAGCAGATAATACTGGCATATTTAGAAGCATGGTAAATCACAGAACTATTCCTGTAATCTCATTGGTAGAATATCCTGCAGTCACGCAACAAATTATTTTCCTTGTACAATTTCATACCAGCTTGATCCAGGTGAGATATTTGTGAGAAGTGTCAGATGAAAGCAAATTGAATTTTTCTATAATTGTATTCAAACATATTTTCAAATGGTCATTGCAAACATTTATTTCTCGGAGGGGGTAGCAATTTAAAACAACTTGCAACTTCTACCTCTCTGGAATACAGGAAGCTTTCTGGGCCTTTTTTTCCCCTTCACTCTGCAGTATGTCCTGCCTCACAGTCTCAGAGGGAGTTCTGCACAGGTCAGCAGGGGGCAGCAACATCCAAGAGGCTCAGACAGGAATGCGGGACTTGCGAGTCAGCAATGGTCTTCTTTTCTTTTCTTTTCTTTTCTTTTTTGGTTCTTTCAGTCCTGCTGCTCTCTGAAATCATTCTGTTCCCAGAAAGGGCCACCTCTTCGGATCTCCTTTTCAAAGCTGGCTACAGGCAGATGGGCTACCTCAGTAGGTGCACGGGGGGCCACGGCAGGACTGGATGCAGTGCATTCAGGTCACGGGAGATATGGGGAATTCGGATACCACCTTGATGAGCACAGTATGAGCACATAAAAAATAGAATAAAGAGGAGCATTGTTCAGTCCATCTTCATCCTTCATCTAGCCATCTCTGTAGAGATCAGCCTCTGTCTAACCTTGAAGGGAAATGAGTCAGACCTCTTCTTCTCTCAAAACAGCCCCTAGTCTTGGGAGTTAGGGAGTGGAATGGGCACTAAATGGTCCTCTCCCACTTCCCATCCCCACCAAGTATCCTTAAGCATGGTCAGGGACCCATCTCCCTCTCTCCACTTAGCCATAATGGCAGTGAGTGAAAAGGCTGCATGACTCAACTCTAACCAGTATGCATTCTGACCGTCAGAGCAAAAATTGACTAACCCTTAGGGCACTTGGCTTTTCTCACAGAAAAGGTTTTGTCCAACAATGATGTGCCAGAAGAGGGAGACTTGTTCTGATGGTGTCTTTTCTAATACACTGGAAAGTGCAGGGCTTGTTGTCCATCCAGGCAGTCCATATTGCAAGATCTCTCAGAGTTGATTGGCTGAGATGTCTGGAGCTGTGTCTAGGAAAATGGGCCTTAATCCCAAAGACCTTTCAGACAGGGCGTGCCCAGTAGGAGATCTCCAAAAGTGGATAGCAGAGAATTTCATATTCTCAGACTCTGTTTTTTCCTAAGAAACTACAGGCCTCTGCCATGGACATGCTCTTATTTAGCTTGAGAGGACCACTGACCCACAGCATGGCACTCCTTCCCATATATTCCCTGGGCCCCGCAAAAGGTTTAGACTGTAAAAGAAACTCTCATCCTGACCAGACAGCCAAGGTATTTTGGATGTGGTATATAGAGTTGGGCACTTTCTACATCAACTGACAAAACATCTGGTGACATCTGCTCTAGAAAAAACGCCATTTAAGATCCCCGATATTCCTGAGGTGGCACTCATTTGACCTGATACGTGTCACCAATCCCAAATCATCCCTATCTAAAACAAGCCTGGGACAAGTAGAACTACAAATGTGCGGGGCGATGATGTACAGGCAGGTCCTACTCCATCCCTCAGGTCCTAGGATGCCTATAGGGGTGTTCAGAAAGGGAGCATCCCTTAGTACCTTAAAAGAAAAGCATCCTCTAGAATGTTTTCTAATAGGCTCTCACTTGCTAATCATCCAAGTTTTTGGGGGTGGTGGTGAGAGGGGAATAAAAATATGCTATGCTGACACCAATTGTATTTGTATGTCAATTTACAATAGTACTCTTCAAGTTATCTTAATCCACCCTTGAAGCCCTGAGCATTGGGTTCTTTGTTCTTGCTTTCCCCTTACTGAGTACTGATTGCTATTTCTATCCTGGTAGCATCCAGTGAATTTCTATTATGGAAACACCAATACCCAGCCAGATTGGAGAGCTCATTGTGCTAGAAGTTATATAAACTTCTAGAACTTGCAGAAGTTGTATAAACTTATAGGCAGATATGGACTATATGCCAGACACGTGAGTGATCTGGCTGTGAATCACATGAAGATGCCCGTTCCCTAATTATTCCTAACAACAGGGTCCCAGGACAGTCCTTTCTTTATTCCTGTCATAAACTCTAGTTTCCATAGGAGTCAAATCTTTAACCTTCCTTCATTCTCTTCTCTCCCATAACAGGGAAGCTCATGGTACTCGATAATTGGGGCTAGTGAATCGTTATACAGGAGTCAATATTTTTGCACTCTTTTTAAGGGATCAGAGAAGGAGAATGGTTTAGTGGCTAGTTTTATGTATGGAAGAAGCCTGCATATCCAGACTCCCATAGCTACTAAGTACTAAAGATCACTCCCCCAAAACTATAGCTATCTCATCAGCAGTGAGGCGCTCAGCCTCCATGGACTACAAGGCATCAATTTGGAAGCTGCTCTATTTTTTTCTTGTCATTACAGTGTGAAGTTTAACCTGTCTGTAGAGCCTTTCAGACAACAGGTTCTGAAAATCAGAGCCCAAGACATTGCCACCTAACTCTCCACTTGTACTATGCCATCCAGTGATGATAACATGTAATGCTAGGAATTAACCGTTGTAGACTAGTGACTATCCTTTCACAGAAATGACTTCAGTGTTGCCTTATAAACTAAGCTGTGCAGTGGCAGATGACCAGTTAGTAAGCCCTGTGTTTTCTCTGTTGCATTGTGTGAGATGCTAAGTTATCAGTGATAACTAAGAGGCAAGCCAGAAGGACAGGTTGCACAAATTCCCTGACAGCAGAGATAGCTACCTGTATGCAAGTAATCAAGGAGGTGCAGAACATTCCAGATTGGTCATCCCTCTGAACAGAAATTTGCTTTAGGACAGTCAAAATTACAGTTCAGCAAGCCAGAGTGTGAATCTCTACAGCTCACCACAAAACAAGACTAAAATCTTCCTTTTCTCCCATAAGGAAAAAATGCTGTGTACTCCTACCTAAGGATCATTTTCACTGTTCTCACCCTGCCTGTCAAGGCCACCTTTCCGCCCAATATCACAGCTTTTGATTGGCTAGAATGGTTTCTGGTGAACTGTACAAGTCACTTGCTTTCCAGCAAATCCCTCAGAAGCCAAACATCAATCTGAGAACTATTTCTAAATGTACTAATCTGATAATTGCAAAGGCAAAATTCCTATTTAACACACTGCCCCTTGACTCTATATTCTACTTAGCCAGGTGCTTCTCTTGTTCCACCTCTCTAATCCTAAAAGAGGGAACAAACTAGACATATACAATTATATTATAGCCAAGACCTTAAAATGTATCATCAGAACATTACAGATTTTATAGTAGCTTGCAGTTAGTTACTGTGCGGTAGCCATGTAACCACCACCTGAAATGATTCAAATGGGGGAAAAGAATAATAATAAAGAGGCAAGCTAGCTCATCGGCAGGCTTGTAGGTCCTATTAGATTTGAAAGGATATGATTTCTATTCCTAAAACTGCCAGTTAACATAATAACAAGCACCGTGTTTCCTCACTCCATCCAAAGACTTGTAATAGGCAAGAATTGGGAGCCAAAACAACAACAGGTCTGTCCTGTATGGTGTAGTCATAAGTTGCCAGCAAGTAATTATGGCAGTGGTCTTGAAAAGCCTGCAGCAGCTCTGGCAGCCTTTGCTAAATGTTTAAGTATAGCCACAGCCTCCATCACAAAAGGAACCAAATATATGATATTTGTTTCTGTGGAAGAATGGGAGGAGACTAATGGTGAAGGAGGGAGCAGTACTGGAGGTGAGGGGAAAGAAAACTAAGTCTTCCAGGGTTTTCAGAGACCTGTAGAAAATCATCTAAATCGAGTGGTTCATACCTCAGATATTGTGCACTGCTTTGACAGTCCTCTGGTTTATGGCGTACTTAACAAAGTCTTATATTTACTAGACTGGAATGTCCATTTTACTAGATGCTTTCTGCTATTTTACTAGTACTTTAAAATTTGGACACGTGACAAAAATGTGCATAACACATTTTTTAAGTGTTGATTGCGCTCATAATTTTAAAGTCAGAATATAAAATAAACATCTCTGCCCTTTCTTCCAGCAGGCAGCACAGAGATCTGCTCTCCGCATTCTGTCTGACAGGTACATTTTGTCATTTTTATGAACTATAAATTGCTTTATGAAACGTTGAGCTCTATTTATTGTGGCATATAACTCATAATCGGATTTTGTCCCCAAAGTATCTATGAATTGGGATGTTAAACATTTTGCATGCTTGGATTTGTCATGCATGTGTGGAGTTTATTACTGCAAAAATCACAGACTTCTTGTATTTCATACAGAATATGCAGAATCCCTTGCTGTGATACCAAGCAAGAGATAAGAAACTTACTGGAGAAGGCATGAATGATGCAGTAAATTCTGAGCTTTAGAGTATGCTGAGATATATTTAAGCTCATTTTTCAGCAATAAGTACTTAATTTATTTTGACTTTTGCCAGAGCCATTCACTGGGAATTACTCTTGTTTTGTTGAGATTTTCTCAACATTAATTTATGAAGGATTGGGTTTTGGCTGCAGAGGTATTTATTTTATATTTGGATGGTAACTGTTGCTTTAGCCAGAAAAACAAAGGGACAAATCCTTATATTCTTACTTCATTTTTACTCAGTCTCTTTTCATGTAAAATTCCCATTGACTTTAGCAGTAGTCTATTCTAAATATGGAATTCAGGATCCACACCATACTAAATATTATTAGGCTGTCGTCCACTACAGGTATTTCTACTAACTGACCATTCTGAAAGAGGATTGATTGAAATGCAAAGAAGCTTTCTGAGGCAGTCCTGATTTATTTTTATCCCATTTTGGGAATGGCAAAGATGGTACATTTTAGTGTCTATGAAAAAGATCTAGCAGATTTACATTTATCCACAAATGAGGTACTGTGTCATGCAGAGTGACACAAAGTAAATTTCCTCATTCCTCTTTGGCAGCCACCTCTACTCCATCTAACCCACTCTTCCCCCTCCTCCCTGGGAATAAGCAGTAATTGACTCAGTAAGCCAGCTAAGTCTGGGCTTCTCCAGAGCAGAGCCTGTCACTTAGGCTGAATTATATGTTGTGCATGGGTGAATAACGTTTCTCTATACCCTGAGGCAGAGACAGCCAAAATTATCCCTCCTCGGTATACAAACACTGTTTTGTTTAGTTTCTTTTAAAAGAAGAAAAACTTTATCCTAACAAGCTGAGTGCATCACACATGCTGTTAGCTAAGTCAAGTCCTCAGTTGTTGGGCATGAAAGGCACACAGATATCGGCCAGATTTGGCCAAAAGACAGGCAAGAAAAAAAGCCTGAACAGCATCATGCTCCTATACCTCAATACATGAAAGCTCTTCCACATAAACAAAATGTCTTTGAGGTTCTGTGGGCATTTGTAGGTGTTGCCACAAGGAATGTTTAGGAATGTCTCATGATAGGACTTTTCAGCAGGGGTTGTAAGTCACAACTTAGGTGCATTGACAAAGTTACAGAAGAAGATAGAAGAGAGCAGGCCTAGAGAATTCAAGCAAACATAATCAGTCAAACATAATCAGCTTTTAAAATTCATAAGTGATGAAATTATCCTTAGCATTCAGGAAATGAGAGGCTGGTGGGGTGGGGAGGGAGAAAACGTTCTTCTCTTCCAGAAAATACTAGCAGTTTTTCCATCAGCCATAGGTTATATTTCTTGCCATATTACAGCCAAAACAATACCTATACCTAGGGCCCTACCAAATTCACAGTACATTTTGCTCAGTTTCATGGTCATGGGATTTTTAAAATCCTAAATTTCACTATTTCAGCTATTTAAAGGTGAAATGTTATGGTGTAATTGTAGGGGTCTTGACCCAAAAAGGAGGTGTGGGGAGGGATCACAGTGTTATTGTAGGGGAGGTTGCGCTATTGCTACCCTGACTTCTATGCTCCTGCTGGCAGTGGTGCTGCATTCAGAGAGGGGTAGCTGGAGAGCAGTGGCTGCTGACCAGAATCACATCTCAAAATCACAAACAGCAGCACAGAGGTAAAGGTGGCACGGCATGGTCTTGCCATCCATACTTCTGTGTTGCTGCTGGAGCGAGGCACCCAAGCAACAATCACCGCTCTTTGGACACTCATCTCTGAAGTCAACATAGGATATGTCTTCACTGCAGAGAAAAGTTGGAAAAGGATATACAAATAGCGAACCGCAATTTGCGTGTCTTTTTCTGTTTTTTCCAAAAGAGGCTTTTCCAAAATTTGGCCAATCTATACGGGGCCAAATTTTGGAAAAAAACTCCTCTTTTGGAACATCCCTTATTCCTTTCACTGAGAGAAATACAGGGATGCTGAAAGAACACGTCCGCTTTTTCGGAAACTGTTCCGAAAAAGCGGATGCATTCCTTGGATGCGGCATAGTTTTTCCGGGTTACCTCTGGTATCCCGGAAAAGCTCTGCAGTCTAGACATAGCCATACAAGAAAGGGTGACAATATTGTCATTTCCTAAAATAACCTTGTGATCCTCCCCTTTTGGGTCAAGCCCCCAAATTGAGAAACACTGCTCTTCCCCATTAAATCTGTATAGTACAGTATAGGGTAAATTTGGTAAAAGCACACAAAAGACCAGATTTCATGGAAGCAGACCAAATTTCACAGTCCATGACCTATTTTTCACGGCTATGAATTTGGCAGGACCCTACCCATACCCGCTGGTCTATTCCTTACCCTTCTCAAAAGTGGTCCTAGTGACATTTGAGGAGGCGAGGGAAAATTAATGTTCTAGTTAAGAGAAATTATAGTGCTTTTAAAAGACCTTAAAAAGCTATTTGCTAAAAGAGAGAGGGGTAATTCTTTTAACCTTGTATGTGTGTATCCCCACCAGTTGTCAGCTTCTTTTGACAATAGTTTGTAATGAATTTATGGGTGGATAATTGCTGTAGGGGGTGGAGCATTGATATGCTTGTCTCTATATTAATAAGGAAGAGAGGCAGGCATGGTTGCTTTCTGGAAATGTGAAGAATATGCAAAGTGCTGTTGGGAAGAAGAGTTTCTATGTGTGTAGCATATGAAGTGCCTCGGCATATGATTAACTTCACTGGGTATGTAATAAATAGTAGATAACTGTGATCAAAAAAGTATTTGTGTGATTTATCAAGCTGAGCAACTGTACATTTTGCAGTGAAGCAGGAGGTCAATCCTGAAATCTAGGGCAAGCAGAGCAATAGAAAATTGCAGGGACTAAGAAGTTAATCATACCCTTGGACTGTTTCCATCTGTTTTTGAAAGACAGAGTCAGTATAGTGCTAGCAAGGATGTTTCACAGCACCAGATCAGGAATTAATTTTTTCAGTGAATCTTCAAATATCATTTGCAGTAACATGGGCTTATAAAAATGTAATTTAATTTCATGGGGATAAATCATATAGGACAAGAAGTGTGAGCATTTTTTTAAATGTGTGTATCTAAAAAGGAGAAGCAGTAAAACACCAAGAGGAAAACAGACATTAACAGCATGGAACTATGAGAATATAAGTGGTTGTGTGGTTAAATTGTGCGTGTAATCGTCTTTGAGGAATCAGCTAGCAACTGGGAAACTCTTATATTTTTATGATCTTTTGAGGGATATTTTTCAGTGACCTATCTAACCATCTTGCATTAGCTTGGGTCAAAGGGGAATTTACTTGAAGTATTGTTGAACTGCTGCTCTGAACAGTGACTCCCATGTCTGAGGACTAAATGCTTGTCAGTGGCCAATGGGAATATTAATGAAAATTCTGTAATTTCTGTATCAGTTTTGAAACTTCTCAGTGCATTTCATTGATACACACATGAATAGTACACTCCCTTTGGACAATGACATTCTCTTTGGGCACTGAACATGATATATAAGACAAAGGGGATTTTCACTTTCATAATGGCTCCAGTAAATGAAATTACTCCTCCCACTGGAAGGGATAAGGACATAATTAGTTGATATTAGGTTGTTCTTCAGGACGGTCTCACAGGCTATGTCTACACTGCAAAACTACTTTGGGGTAGCTCTGGTATCCCAAAATAGCTATTCCACATCTTATATCAAAATATAACAGGTTCACTATCCCCACATCCCTGTAAACCTCATTGCACGAGGATTAAGGGATGTTTCAGAATAGCACTTTATTTTGAAATTTGGTGTTGTGTAGACAGCAGAAGTAAACAGCTACCATCCTAGATGTAGGCAATGCTACACAGGAGGAGCAGTACTATGGCCGGTTTCTTCACAGGCAGCAGGAGGGGAGTAGGTACAAGGAAAGACAGATCCTGGTCCCTAGGACTACTGCATGGCTGAATCGGGTCTGCTGCTTTTCTTTTAGGTGATATTGGGGCCTTATTCTGATGTATTCCTCTCCCACCAGTGGAGGCTCTCTGTATTTTCTCATAGCTGTTTGGCTTTGGAATAGGCTACAGAAAATCCTTCACTCTTCCCCACCCCTTCATGTCCCATCTTTACTGTAGGCTCTGATTACAAGAGGATCATGTTGAACTGCCATTCGGGCAGGTACTGTCTTTGAACAGGCAAATTCTTAGATATTTTGTGGAAGGTAAGCTGCTGACTGAGAGAAAGTTATTTTTTTCTTTTTCTTTTTCCGTTTGTTTCTTTTCCTTCTCTCTCTCTCTCTCTCTCTCTCTCTTTAGCTTTGAGGGTTTGTTTCTTTTCCTTCTCTCTCTCTCTCTTTAGCTTTGAGAGCAAGACATTTCTCCTCAAAGTGGGCCACTGCTTGATGAAAGATACGGTGCCATTGGGTTCAGTTGGGGACTTGCTCCTCCCAGCTTGTTTTGCCCACATCAGTTTTCTTAAGATATACTTTCAGTGTGTTTTTGTAGCCTTTTCTCTGATCTCTGACCATGGGTAAGCTGAGAGCAAAGGACTTGTTTTGGGAGGCAAGAGTCTGGTATCTACATACAATGTCCAGCCTAGAAAAGTTAGGGCATGAGGCTCCTTGCTTCAGTACTGGTGACATTAGTTTCAGTGAGGATACTGGCATCAGTGCAGTGGTCTCATCACTTGACACAAAGGATCTTCCAGAGGCATCATTGGAGGCACCTCTCTAGACTCTTGAGGTGCTATCAATAGGTCACCCAG